AATTTGCTAGTCACAAGGATTAACACTGTCAGTTTGGGTTTATGAATATTTTAATAGGTTGTAGTCGTGCAAAATGACTGAAGGTCGTTTGCGAAATGACTGGTGCACGGATCAGAAGAGAAGTATGTATATCGGTGGTTTTATATTAGATTTGATTTTGTGTAGGTTGAAATTAAAGACAGTGTTTATGATATTACTACGACATTATTTTGAATCGTGTAGCAAAATCATTCTGCTGATTGGTATTAAACGCCGTCTCTGAAATAAGTTCACAAAATGAACCCCGAAAGAGGTGCTTACTGCTGCTTCTGTTGAAATCAATATTTATCGTTTTTAAATATTATGCTTTTTCATACCTGGGTGCGATACAATGCAAACTTATGGCTTACCCACACCAAACACTAATACTTGATTTGTTAGAAACTAATTACGATCCAGGATAATTATGAAATCTCCAAGCACCGACCTTGATGTGAGATCTCCGAGTGATGGGTACAAATTTGCAGTCTTGCCGAGGCAGCTTCTGTAATCTTATTTGATTAGCGAGGGAATTGTTATCTACTATCTGCTGATAATGAGAATGCTGTGCATGATGCCATAGATGCAGATAAGTTATTTTATGAACTCAATCATACAATATATTAAATATAAGAATCTCAAATATATATTTTTTAGTCATTCCTAGCAAATGGTGCCAAATATTCTTGTTCCTCGATGTATTTTTTTGGGGGGCTTCTTCGCACAAAATCTTCTGTCTTATCTTATATATGTAGACTCTTTAAAATGCGTCAGAATCTATATCATTATTAATGATTCCTACGCATCGTTCAATAACACCTCCCCAGATACGAGAAATGTGCCAATTAAAAAAAAATTTCCGCGAAATGAAACTAGTTAACTAGGGTAAAATATTATTATTGTTTAGAAATATCATCTATCAAACTCCTAAAACTAATTGAAATGAAAGATAAATCTCCATTAGGGCCTCTAATATCGTTCAAAATTTGTTCATTTAATTTACTGTGAATTTGGACCGATATTAATGTTACGGAGTCATTTCTAAGATGAACCCCATGCACCACTCGTTGGTGGGGTTGGATACATCGCAATGGGTCGCCTGCCGAAGACCACCACTGCCCTGCATGTAATGGACCATCATGATTTCTGCCTTCCGGAACGTAGCCTTCAACACTTCTGGACAATCATATCTAGGCCGTGCGTCGAACCAGCCCTCGGTCGAATGGCCACTCGTCGAAGGACGAAAATTTTTGGAACTGAACTATGCTATCTGAAACCGAACTTCAAATGCGGTGAACGTAAAATTGCGTTATTTAACGATGCCCGGAAGTCAAATTCGATCTGCGGCCTGGTGGTGCACGGCAGGTTTTATGCAAGGCCGGAGGAGGACAAAGCCGAGTGGGTCACGGCTGATTGGTGAATGTCCGGAGAGATCCAAGGCGTTCGATTCAGGGCTTATTGGTGCACAAAATTGGTGGTGCACGGCTGCACTCCCCATCTGAATGGTCGGATAGCTCTAGACGCCGAAGAACTGGGCTTTGTGTCCAAGGGATGCTAGGATTATCATTGTTTGTTCCTGTGTCGTGATGGATTTCATACACTGAATTAGGATTAAGGAAAACTTTTTGATAGAATACGGTCCCTAAATTTGAATTTAAATGAAATTGGTGATGTGCTATGGAATCTGAATTTAAATCGACGACAGCTTGGCCAAGGTAGGGAGCGGTCGCGACGTTCGGTGTAGAAAACACACCGCGAGGTCGAGCCATTTTAGAATTGAGCTTAATTTGCACTTGAATCATATTTCGAACTCTGAATACATTTGATGTAAAGTAACTTTGCAGCGTTGTTCAATCGAACTTACTCTTTGTATCTAGACACTAAACAGATGACTTGGGAATAAAAATTATGATAAATAAACAATTTAACATATGTCCCGCAACAATTTACTGGACAACATAAATCTATTGAACTGACACTGAATAATAAGTAATAAGCTGCGGAAAATGAATTTTTCATAAGTTAAGAGCAAGAGAACTTCTAACTGTGATGCAAACATGTTGAAAATTATGCAGTATAAGTTCAATTCTGTAATAAAAATTTCAGGCGGCGAACGTCGACCGAGTATGGGCGAACGGCAACGAATAATCAACATAGAAATATGAACTTTGAGCAACAAATATTGCTGTTCGGAGAAAACAGGCATCGAAACGAATACTCGAGATATTAAGTTGCCATTATAAATCGGACAATCGGCTACGTAGTTCGCAGCCGGAATATTGCCAACTAAATCGAAACGAAATTTAATAGAGCCAAAGCGGCCTTAGTGCCTTAATCCAACCACTAAAAAATTGCCAATGCATCTAACACTTTATAACAGAAAATCAGAGGCACGAACGAGGTAATCAGCGGCCTGAATAGTTACTTTAGGGCACACGCTTGCATCTGTAAACAACTCTGACAACGCGATCACACAACTGCAGTCGGTATCGCGTACAATCGTGTATACTCTCATCCCGTTAAGTTCGTTATACGCAGATTTTACTTTCGGAGGAAAAAAGTTCTTATTGGGACTATCGGTTCCTTCTAAGTTGGGAAATTTATCTAGCAACTTTTATTTTTTTTCCGCGCAGATGGTCGACTGTCTGAAAGATGGGTGAGTTCTTCGATAGAAGGGGGATGCGCTCCTATAGGTCCTCAGGTACAGTCGTAACTCCGGCTTGACGGAATCAATAAATAATTGTTCCATAAGCATGAACTCCTGCAAGCCATCAAATGTCTTAGGGGCCATTTCGGAGTCTAGCCTATAATTGAGTTTGCGTCTCAAGCTGCATGTTATGAAATCCAGCAGGAGCATGCAAAGCATTCTTCAAGCGGAGGGAGTCCCCAGTCACGTCAGAAGTTATACTAAATAAACGCTGCAATCGGGAAACTGATATCACATAAAACTGGAATGTAATATTTTCATAGCACAAGTTAATTTTAATTCAAGCCCTGAGTTTGCGTCATCAATATAGAACTCAAATTGCTGCAGTTTATTCTCAAATCATATTCGCACTTGTATGACTCTATTAATTTACCACCTCACTAAAGATTACGTATAATAATACGTTACTTTGCTATCAAGCTCCATATTCTATCCTTAGCTCCATAGATACGACGGATAATTTACTACGGATTATAATACTATGAGCTTTAACGTCTTAAATAATAACTACAGAGACGGCAAGGTGTTGGATTCGTGACAGTCTGCTTCAATACGGTAGGACTTTGAAACTGCTGATTTTCGATGTAGAAGTGAATCAATCACATCAAATAGAGTGCACGGGTTTCAAAATGAATTAGTTTTACGTTTAAAATTAAACTGGGGAAAACAAAGGCACATCCTTGGATAAAAAAAACACTCCTTTAAAAGGCGCGCAAATAAATTCAGAACTTGACATTTAACTCAATGGGGACATCTACCTGAACTATTGAGCAAGGAATCGAACCGTCCATTTCTAAATCACGATTCTCTAAGCGCTGATTGAACTTTTCGGCTTTACCGGAAAAGTTTCGGTTCGTAATGCCATCGCGTTGCGCGGTGATATGGTTGCAATGCCAGGACCGTATTGATCAAGATGATCCTCTGCCGTAATGACGATCGTTTGTTTTAAGTAGCCATACCGCGTTTGTGATTATGTAGCTGAAGTCTTCAACTCCTAAAAAGTTGTCTCAAGTTTAGCATGACTATCGAATTGTGAGCGGCAGTACTTCTAAATGGCTGCGTGATTGCATCCACTTTTGTGACGTTCGTGCCAGCCCATGGCCGTACGTCTTGCTGCTATGTTCGGCTGTACTGTCGACGTTACTTGCATTGATGGTTGGCTGTTTAATCGCTGCCCGTCTTGTTGTCTAGCAATGTAGTCACGGCCGGCGCGACGAACCGTTGAGTCGTTTTTTTCCGTTGCAAATTCTTCTCCGCTATTTGTAGATTATAGAGGCTCCTACCGGAATCCTAGAAGTATCGATGAGTCTAAGCTTTTCGCGACCGTGAATGTTCGAAAATGGGCGAAGCAAGCCACCGACCTGTGCGCGTCACGACCCTAACAAAATTTAGAGCCGAGAGCAGCTCTGAATGATGGAACGCCTAGGGCTCGGGGAGCGTAGTAAATTAGTTTCTCTATGTCTGCTTTTTGGTCTAAATCCCAGTCGCGAGTCAGCTACGAGAGCCTGGTCCTTACTTTGGCGGCCGTTGAGCGGTACGTAGTAGGGTCTGACAAAGTGATAAAAAATTCCCCCCCCCCTCTTCCTCTGCAGTGAAAGGAAGGGAGGGACTATTGAATTTATACGTGATTTATCATCAATGCCTGTTTCTGTAACTCGCTGAATACAAAGAGCATGCCAAGAAAGTTCAGAATCTTGGGTAATCATGTTCGTAAAAAATTTTTCCTTCACATCCGAAGAAATAATGCAAAAAGTTATCGACAAATGGTAATAATGTCAGCGTTGTGTAACCAAACAATTTCAGTGTTGTGTATTCTCTGCAATGAAGAACGCTGCCACATCGAAATTTACCAAAGCATTGGAAAATGGACAAAAAATTAAACCATGCATGATGCTATTAGTTTTGGCTTGAATTGAATTCTATTCTATTGGTAAGCATTTATAGGTGTTATATTGTAGTATTAGGCTCTATTACTGTTAAGCATTTACAGCCATAAAGAACATATATTTGTCTACATACCCAGTATAGCAGTGTAATCGACATCGGTAAGCAGAGAAGAGTTAATATGAGATTAAATTACACTTGGCTCGCCTGCAGTCCGGAGAAAGAACGACGCAATGCTCCCAAGTCTCGAACGGCGGACAAAAATATTAGATCTTGGTGGACGAGGATACTTAATTAGTAGATTTTACATCGCTTGATTGAAACGGCTTTTTACAATATGGTGCAGGATGTTGCCTCTGTCATAATCAAGTGTATAAACAAGGCGTTCAAGTAATGGCTGGATTGAAATATATTTCGGGTTTTTAACGGTCCAAATAATATTGTTCCTAACAAGAGCAGAGAAAACATGGGAATTAGAATTGGTAAATCTTTATTGTAAAACATTTTGTTTTCCATAGGTCGATTTTCTTCCTTCAACTAGGCACATTACTCTAATTTCAACTAGGCACATAGTATTAGTGCTATGTATATATAATTTTATAACGTTATCAATCATGAAAGACTTTCTGGTCCTAAAATATTTTGAATATATAATTAGGAACAATGTGATACAAAATTTCAACTATCACTAATCAATGCGGATGTAATTAGCAAAAAAAATAATTTACGACAATGAATCATGCAAACCTGAGAAGATATTTGATTTGATTACATTTGATTGTATCAAATTAAGAAAACGCAAATTAAATGCAAACATTGCATTCAATCAATCATATACATCGCAGCGCTAATGAATGGTTGGAGCCAGGCTGACATTTGCTACAGTAACTGTATTAAATGCATCACAATTACAACGGAAATAAATAGCTCCGCTTCATCGTCTCAGGATGAAGGTGTCTTTCACATGGCAGGAGCGCTGGCTGGCGGGCCCCAGGCACCGTTGTAGGTCTGCAAGGCAGGAGCGGCAAGGCTTAGCCCCGCTGGTGGGTACGGGCTGGAACTGGTGGCAGGATAGCCACTTGGATATGGGGCAGCAGGATACGGGATAGCGTTCTGGGGATATACAGCAGGGTTTTGAGGGGGATATCCAACAAAGTTTGGAGGGGGATACACATTAGCATTTAGATAAGGATATCCAGTGAGGGTGGGTTGGGGATATGCACTTGGACTGTTCGGAGGATATGCAATAGTGCTGGGTGGGGGATATGCACCACCAGAACCAGGCGGGAAGGCAGCTTGGTTGTTGTAGCCGCCAGGTTGAGCAGGTGGTGTGTAGTTCGGGTTGTGGGTCTGGTTGATGATGTTTGTTTGTTGTTGTGGATGAACGTGGATCTGAGAAGTCGGCGCTGAGTTTGTCATTACAGCGAAGGCGGGGTCAGCCGCTCTTGGAACGGCAATCTGAAGATAATTTTGAAGCTTTAGTGTGAGAAGCATAACTGGAAACTGAAACATATAGTTTGTTTAACTTTTTAATCGTTTGGTGCATTGCATGTTTAAATCATTGTACGTAAATATATAAATCTTTTACCTCCATTCGTAGATTATTATGTTTTATTTGTAACGTTATTTTGTTAGTAAGGAGTATTATTTTGAATTTCCTCACAAAGGCAAGGTTGTCTGGTACATTTGGTATCATGATAAACTCACCATCAACTGTCCATACTTGGCCACAATCCCAGTCATGATGAAGAGCCAAACTGATATGCAATAGAGGAAAATAGACACTCCTGCATTCTCAGAGACTAAAATGGATGCGGTCACAATGTAGCCCACCGCCACCAGTATCGTGATGCCGACGAACGCTCGAATCGAGAAGTAGTACGCCTTCTGTAATGACAAATAAATGTTGATTGGTCATATTAGCAAATTTTACTAGAAGTGACAAGTTATTAAAACTTTTTAATCGCGGTATAGTCGAACGCTCTAGTTTTTACCGTACCCGTTGAAGTATTAGAAACATCAAATACAATATGCAGTAACATCTGCAGATATGAGCAAAACCCTTAAAGAAGTATTAGAAATTTAGAAGCCGTAAAATGTATTGGGAACTAGAAGTATTAGAAACTTTAAGAACAATATGCAGTAACATCTGTACAGATATAAGTAAATTCGTTATCAATTTATGTACATTCAAGCACCAGGATTTATTGAGCATTCTAAATAATGAATATCCCGCGCATTTCTGAGCAGGATCTATTGCATGTATCATAACAATTATCTCTATGGGAAACATGTCTTTGTTTCGACAAAATTGTGGATAAAAAAAAGTTTATGCAGTTTGCTTGACTTCATTCTCGCGAACTTGACTCGATAAAAACAAATTTTTATTCCTTGTGCAGTGCAATTTCAGGATCACTCTTAGATTACATCTAGAGGAACAGATTTTTAAACAAAACTTGATTCACTTACTCGTAGATTTTGTTTTGTAGCGGACAATAAGATCACTACCTTAAGACCTTAATTAAGATCCCCCCACTTGACTAGAACCCAGAATTCGCTTCGGGAAACCAATCCAAGGCCATGCTGATAGCACCACCCTTTGGCAGCCTCCCATCAGCAACAGCGAGAGAATTTACATCAATATACTGATTTATCTCATGGCCTCTACTCTTCCCAAGGCTCGAACCCACGGTTAGCTCCTCTCATCTCGGTGCCGCCATCACTGGGCTAGAGTTACGTGGAATATTAAGAAGAGGGGAATAAGATTCGCTAATAACGTGAATCCCCAACAGCCTACATCGGCACATAAAACTATACTCTCTAATAAGAACGATGTTATTTGAATTGTAAAAACGTAAACTCAGCTATCACTGCCTTTTTTAAGATAAAGGCTCACTTTTCTGATGGCAAATGCGAGAAGTATGGCCACTAAGACGCAGAGAACTCCCCCAGAACCCACGGTCCAATTTGCCCAGTTCTGGTCTGAAGTTTGTTGAAAAAACACCGATTGAATTAATAATTTCATAGCCTAAGCTTGTAGAAAATAATATCTGACGCTAAAAATTCATATTAAACACGATTTTACCATTCGAATTCAGCATTTATCATTCAATAAACGCCCCACTTAATATAGATTGCAATTCAGCCTTAACCTCAGGCTATCTTTGAATATGTTATGGAATTGGGGTTACACTGATTCGAAATAGAAAAATAGCTTCAAATTTTAGATGTCATACAAGCTATCGAAATAAAAATTCTTAAAGTTGTATTAATTTGGAGCTGCCTGGTTGAATAACGATACACTCACATTGATAACAGTGATAGTAGTGATGGTAAGAGTCGTAATAGCAAGTAGTGAGATTTTCCACTGCCGCAAGAGTAACCAAAGTGATCCCGAGAGCCTGAACAATAAATATAATTAATGCGTTAGAGGATGAGTTGCATATGGCGGATTGGTTTTAGATTTTGTGATTTAGAGGAATAGAGCATTATAGCAATGGATATGTTGCTATTCAGTTTCAATGCCTAAAACAAAAACTAATTTCCATGCCTTCCTCACGAACAAGTCCGATTTTCTATTCATATTTAGCAAAGTTCTTCCTGGCAGAATTATTGTTCAGCACAAAATACACAAGCAACGTGACTCAATGTTCAATATAAGCAACACAGTGAGTTGATGAATGTATTCATCTATCTCACTATATCAAAATCTCACTATATCAATTACAATATTATCAATTACAATAAAATTATTCATAAATCAACATTACTGTTCCTCGCTGATTTTTATCCTAAGTTTAAAAAAATGAGAATCTTGGTTTTAACGTTTTGAATAGCAGTAAGATTCGCCGTCTATACCGTATACGAGTATACATAACGAATCTCCTGACCAGTTTTTGGCTTCAAATTCAAATAAATTCCAAGCATCTATATCTACATAATTTCTGTGATTTATTCTTCAATCTTTTTTTGTTTATTCATCTCTCCTTTATATTATGTCATGTTCATTTCCACAAATTTGCGTTTATAGCGTGAACTTGTTATGTCACTGGGGGCATAAATTCCCATTTGCTTCAATATCGGGATACTCACGACGTGTTGGGCAGCCACCAAGTTTCCCAGCGTCGAGTAGCTGATGCAGCAGCAGGCGTTCAGGGAACTCATCTTAACTCACTATGATCACAATCAGACCTTTGAATAACAAATATGGTATAAAACCTTTTAGTTAAGTAACATTTTTATGCCGGAAACGCTGTGTGTCGTTGCGGGAGAAGGTGCAATACATATAGGCTACCCCAACGGGATAGTGAGAAAGCACGGAAACTAAATTAACACAGTTCTATATCTAAAGTTCTATTTGTAAAAAAGTACTAAGAATTAAATGCACAAGCATTATTTAATGAACAAACTATATGAATGAACGAGCTAATTAATGAGAAGTAAATCAGTAATCCTAGGTAGTTATCAGACGGTAAAGTAAATGTAAAGTTGAACATTAAAGAGCACTAAATTCGGCAGGGCCCAACCGTACGTCACCGGATTTATCGCCAGAAGAAGTCACAGTTTATCTAAGATTAACTAAGTCAAATCAATTGAAAGTGTGGGAATCTAGAGGAGGAGCGCAGAGTTTGCCGAGATTACACCGGGACTCGTCTCCAACAAGTTGCAAATTCCTTCTACTCTGTTCACCGAGTGGGAAGACAGATGTTCAAATAAACGAACACGTCCATGCGACGTACAGCGCCGGAAGCGGTACCTTCCTGGCTGGTTCTCTAGCTCTGCTTGCCTGCAGTCGCACCCGTCCATGGCCGACGAAAGTAGTAATCGAAATATAAGAACTTGATTTGAAATGAATGATTGACAGCAGCGTCGGAGGTGAATCCAAATGCCTGTCTCGGCAGACCACCATACGGCAGCCGCGTCCAGCCACGCCCGTTCAGAGAGGCGTGCTCAATCGAGAGTGAGACGACCAAAGCTCACAACTCACGTTCAATTTCAGTTTTGAGTAATGAGTCTGAATGAAAGAAGAGCATGAACGACAGTCAGAAAGTAGGGACGCTACATTCCCCCCCCCCAAGACGACGCACTTACTCGGCATAAAAAAATCACATGTATAATTCAATCAGTGTGAAGCCTGTAGGCCCAGCTGACGAAATTATCAATCAAACTTGCACATTGTTACCAGCTAGCACCGGTACTAAATTCAAAAGACAAGCAAATTAAAAAGATTCACATGAGACCATTCGCTCCAGTTTCCTGAAAATCGGTAACATGGCCACCAAAACATTGACGTTAACAATTCTCAACTTCCAATTTAACACATCAGTTTATACAGATTCAAGAAATTATAAACGCTTTACGTTACCAGAGTTGTCACCAGAACAACGAAAATAGGCTTAGCATTTGTCAGCAATAGAATTGGTGCTCTATTCACCAAGTTACTTTGGACTACCTAATTAGAAAAGGATTTGTTGTGAGAACGGCCTTGGAAGAATAGCAAGTCGCACGTCACACGAGCAAAAAAGGTGGAAAATTTAACAAAGCTCTACAAGAAATACACCCAGTATTACAAATTCTCATCAACCGTAATAGTCTGCTCAAAAAAAAAAGACTAAAAGCATAACGCCTGCAACCAATACGCCAGGGTTCGTAAGAGCAGAACGGCGAAAAAGTCACCTTATGTAGCAGAACACGGAATTCACGTTAAATGAGGTTATCACATTAAGATCATTCATCAGAATAGGGCACATGTACAAATAAATCATCGCAGTAGTTAAAGAACACATTAGTTATGCAAACAAAAGTGGTCGGGAAGATTATAGGTTGTCTCCCGGGACCGCTCCAAACACGTTGCGGGAAAATTAACCACACGTTACCTAGATAACTAATCTTTCCAAGCCTTACAAGTTACAACCAATCGAACTTGCTGACAACGGAACAAAAATCCATATGCATATTACCGATACCTCCCTCTAGTTTCCCATACTGGCCACTAAAAATATATTTTGCGGCAGAGCGGTCAACACATACAGGCTACCCCAACGGGATAGCGAGAAAGCATGGTAACTAAATTAACACAGTCAACTAAAGCTATATTTGTAAAAGAGTACTAAGAATGAAATGCACGTGCATTTTTTAATGAACAAACTGTATAAATGAACAAGCGAATTATGAGATGTCCATCAGTAATCCTAGGTAGCTATCAGACGGGCAATGTAAAGTTGAACATTAATTAAAGAACACTAAATTCGGCTGGGCCCATTCGTGCGTCACCGGTGTTATCGCCGAGAGGAAGTCACAGTTTATGGAAGATCGATTAGATCTTGGTGGACAAAAGTCCAATCAATTCAAAGTGTGGGAATCTAGCGGATGAGCGCAGTGCTTGCCGAGATTACACCAGGACTCTTATCCAGCGTTGCTATCAAGTTTCAGCTTCCTTCTACACTGTTCACCGAGTGGGAAGACAGATTTTCAAATAAACGTCCATGCTACGATCAGCGCCGGAAGCGGCACCATCTTCCAGGCTGGTTCTCTAGCTCCGCTTGCCTGCAGTCGCACCCGTCCATGGCCGACGAAAGTAGTAATCGAAATGTAAGAACTTGGTTTTAAATGAATGGTTGACAGCAGCGTCGGAGGTGAATCCGAAGGCCTGTCGGGGCAGACCACCACACGGCAGCCACGTTTAGCCATGCCCGTTCAGAGAGGCGGCTCTAGCAAGAGTGAGCCGACCAAGGCTCACGTTAAATTTCAGTTTCGAGTAATTAAGCCCCGTCTACACGCTCAAACTTATCGTCAGTCTTGCATGCCATGCCAAAGTTTGACCGACAAGACGGAAGACTGACGAGCGTCCACCCTATTCAAATTTTTCTTCAGTCTTGTGCGCTCTCGGCAATGGAGGAGCTAGCGCTGCTCGCTTCAGTGATCGCAGTTCGTGCCACTAAAATTAGGTTAAAGCGATGCAAACGCACGCGTTGGTCTCGAAAATGGTTTACAATGAAGGTTGATAGACAGCATCCCTACCAGCACCAGGCCACATTGATGACTTCATTTTGTCACATTCTTTTCGATGAAGAGTTTATTTTCTTCGTTACAAAGACTTTGTTTGCTGTAGGATCAACTTCTTTGCACTTAGCAATCAATGCCGCATAGGCCAGTGCTCTCTTGTTCGTGTCACTGTAGCTTTTTGATTGAATTTCGCACAAATAAGGAAAACTACGATATGATTCGATAAAATCGCCTAAAAAAATCGTAAAACCAGTTTCGGATATCTTGAGATATGAAAAACTAGAGCTATCGAGGAAAAATGTCCCAGCTCTCTAGATCAATATAGACTGAGATAGAGTAAAAGATTGAACAATTAGTCGGTTGTCCGTCCACATACTCAAACTTATCGTCAGTCTTGCATGAACCCAAAGGTATCGCCCGTCCGTCTTTTCCAGGTTTGTCAAACTTCAAACTCCGCCCACCCGTCTTACGAGACTTCAAACTTTGAGCGTTCACACGCTCCGTCTTGTCGGTCAAACTTGGCATCGGCATGACAAGCAAGACTGACGATAAGTTTGAGCGTGTGGACGGGGATTTATAAAGCCCCGTCTTAATATATATAACTTTGAGCGTGTGGACGAGCCTCAAACTTGTCGTCAGTCTTGCATGTCATGCCAGGTTTGACCGACAAGACGGAGCGCGTCTGCGTGTGGACGCTCAAAGTTTGGAGTCTTGGGCGGAGTTTGAGGTTTGACAAACCTGGAAAATACGGACGGGCGAGACCTTTGGGTTCATGCAAGACGGACGATAAATTTGAATGTGTGAACGGGCAACCGAATAATTGGTCAAACTTTTACTCTATTTCTTTGTGTATTGCCTTTGAGAGCTGTGACATTGTTCCTTGCTAGCTCTAGTTTTTAGCATCAAAATGTTATCTCAAGATATCCGACACTGGTCTCACGGTTTCTTTTGTGAGTTTATCGAATTATATTGTAGTTTCCCTTGTTTCTGGCAAATTCAATCAAAAAGCTACAGTGACATGAGCAAAGCGCTGACCTATGCGGCATTGATTGCTAAATGCTAATGATTGCCATGCGGCATTGATTGCTTTTAACTAATTGCTGTGCGGCATTGGTTGCCATTAATTAATTGCTGTGTGGCATCGATTGCCAATAGTTGCGCCAATCTGACGGTTCCTATCTTACTTCCCATAAAAGATTCACGTGGAAAAATTTTCGTCTCTTCAACAACCATTTTAGGACCGCGTACGTCTGCATCGCTTCAACCTAATTTTGAAGACAAACTGCGATCACTGCAGCGAGCAGCACTACTTCTTCGATTGCCGAAAGCGCACTCAAATGAAGGAAAGTTTGAATAGTGTGGACAATCGTCATTCTTCCGTCTTGTTGGTCAAACTTTGGCATGACGAGCAAGACTGAAGATAATTTTGAGCATGTGGACTGGGCTTTAATGCGTCGGAATGATAGAAGAGGAGAGAGAAAACGCCGCTACATCGTGTTCATAATGGCATAAGTAGTGCATAAGCGCTCCATGCCGAGTTGCAACGAACATAAACATTAATGTAAATGTTATTGTTTAGAGAGAAAGTGCATACTTTTTGTTAACTGTTAGAACGTTAACTGTTTACTAAAGATGTTAAAAAGTCATCACAGATGATAGTGCACCGAAAAACAAGCTGTTATATGTAAATAAGTTTCAAATAGAGTATACTGAATTAAAAATACTTTCTATTCAAGGAATTTGATTGGAGGTAATTCACCATACATATTGAGTCTATAACTAATTGAATATAAACAAATTGACAATTAGTTTTCTAAAATACTTACAAACATGAACAGTTCCAGCCGTGAGCAAATTAGAATCACGTCGGTGCAAATAAACTGACAGAAAATATAATTTAATTAATCACAATACAGCAGATATCTTCTTCAGCGCGCAACGAAGACCGTGAGTAGCTTTAAAGGCATCACGCTGTAAAACAAAAGCTAACTTCATTTATATCTACCCTTGATCTCCCAATCACTTCTACCGGAACTGTCACTACGCCCCTTGCAAATAACGGGCGGTTCTTGGGTGGCCGATGCATGGCCAGCAGTCGGCCGGACCCAATACGCTTCGCTCGGTCTCTCACCTGGCTTTGGCCGGCCGATGATTTATGTCCGCTTTATAACATCACACATATTTTAACATCATTTTAACACATCAGCCTTCACTAGTCACAGGGATCAACACTGTCCGTTTGGGTTTATGAGTTTTTTAAAGGTTTTAGTCGTTGAGAACGACTGGAGGTCTTTTGCGAATGACTAGTGCACGTATCAGTAGAGAAGTATGTATATCAATGGTATTATATTATATTGATTGTGTATAGGTTGAAATAAAAGACAGTGTTTATGATATTACCTCTGAAGAAATGAAGGAAGCGCAGCCGTGCACCATCAATTTTGTGCACCAATAAGCCCTGAATCGAACGCCTTGGATCTCTCCGGACATCCACCAATCCACTCAGCCGTTAACCACTCGGCTTTGTCCTCCTCCGGCCTTGCGTAGAACCTGCCGTGCACCACCAGGACGCAGATCGAATTTGACTTCCGGACATCGTTATATTACGTAATTTTACGTTCACCGCATCTGAGGTTAGGTTTCAGATAGCATAGTTCTGTTCCAAAATTTATCGTCCTTCGACGAGGGGCCGTTCGACCAAGGGCTGGTTCGATGCACGGCCTAGATATCATTGTCCAGAAGTGTTGAAGGCTACGTTCCGGAAGGCAGGAATCATGATGGTCCACGACATCCAGGGCAGTGGTGGTCTTCGGCAGGCGACCCGAAATCAAGATGCTGTGCATGACGGTCTTCATCGATGTGGATAAGTTATTTTTATGAACTCAATCATATAATATAAGAATCCCAAAGATAATTTTTTAAGTCTTTCTAGCAATACCTCTTAACCGTGGATCCATTTATCTTTTGATAATCTAACATTTATAATTTTATAAAACAATTTTAACACAATCAATGAGACGAAGTTTACTTTATGTAATAAATATTCACTTCGTGCTCCATTGATACCATGGATAATTGAAACGGATGATAACTCTGAGCTGTAACATGTTTGATAATCATGTTACAGTTAATCATGTTAATCATCATCAGCACTGGCTTGTTGACTATACGTGTCAATGCGGTAGGACTTGAAACTACTGAAGTTCGATAGAAGTCATAAGATAGGTGTCATTTAATTTGATCAATTTTTATTTCTATTATTTATAACATTTAGCTTATCGTTGATACTGGAACCTAAAATAAGATATTAAGGACCACTACTTCATTTCACATTGAATTTTTATCACTCGATAAATCAGCGTCAAGCATTGAGAAAAATTGAAATGCGCAGTTCTTAATTGTTAAATATTCTTGTTCCTCAATCAACGAATCTATCAACTAATCAATGAATAATCAATATTAAAATTGCACTTTGAGCGACAAATATTGCTGTTCGGCAAATTACTGGCATTGTGAGATCAATTTACAATTGTAAGCTTCGTTCTTCAGTACTTACTGATCTATATCGCGGGGAAATAGACAAAATATAGTAACACGATTTATTCGTTTAGAAGTTTATGTAGTGAAAGGTATTCATCCTAATTTTCATATTAACAGTAATTATTTGAATAAAACTTTTATGTAATTTTTTTCAATGAATTTCATTGAGCATCGCATCAATGTAGGTAGTCGTTTTCTATTTCCTATTTATCATAGAAGTCCTTGATTTTTGTACAAGGGATATATTTTTATTTGGAATTGTAATTATTTTTTTAATTTCAGCAAGATGCTGAATAATTGTTCATGATATTCAGCAAAACAATTATTCAACCTAAGAAGTCTATAATCAAGTGCACGACTTTGCGTGCCGAGGGCTGATATATTGTCGTGAGGTCCTGCGACAAGTTTCCGTTCGTTTAATGCAAAAAATTTATTTCATTTAATTTCACGAAATATTTGTGCTAATGACTTCTTACAATTAATTGAAATGAAAATTAAAATTTTAGTTATTAGATGTAACTAGCATATAGTGGGCGCTGCATTGACGCTTACCGTAGCCTATACAGTATGTGTTTTCCAAAGTATTAGGGCATCCCGATAGTGGGGCGCAAAAACATCACTATCGGGGAGTGATAAAGGGAAATAATTCTTCATTTAATTCTCATATTTCAATTTTTCATTGAGTTACAAAATAAATTTTTTCGCGTAGCTAGAAATAACCACAGCTAGTAAGCGGCTACGGGTGCAGCCTTAACAAGGCTGAGGTATATATCAATGTATGTAGCTTAGATTACAATACCAAAACCATGATTTTCTCTGCGATTCCGATCAGAATCACATATACAAAACATAACCGCACATAAGTCAGGTTTGAACATCGTCTCTTAATCTGCATGTATAGATATGCACGTCATTGTCATTTTGATTTAATATTTCCAGGTTCCTGCTTCATCTGTCTTGCTGAATACACATCAGCTATTTGGAATGATTTAATTATTTGGAGTATTTACTCCGAAGCAGATGCAACTATACGCATTAGTGTTTCATATACCAGATCAGGTAGGCGGTTATGGGAGAACGAAACTATTCGACCAGTTACAATAAAAGGTAATGATTGAAGTCAAATTTTCGGAAAAGATGATCGATATTGGCCCATACTTATAGCGGGAAAGTGCGTTCACTTTGTAAAAACAGTTGAAGCATTATATTTTTATTCCATATGCAGTAACTGCTGATCTGCTGTCACGCTGAAGTAGACCAATTTTAAAGATAATTAAATGACTCCACTCCTCTCAGGCTTAGATTTAATTTCGTTTAGTCAATTCGTTTTGGAGAAAACTGGCATTTTTCACTCATTGATCAGAGAACTTCTAAAAAAATTGCTTCCTTTGCCACTTCATATCTCTGAGAGATCGGATTGTCAGCTGCGGCGTCTCTGAAATCTAAAAATCATACCTCTAACGAGTCTCAAGAGCTCCTTCAACTTCCACTAGAAAATAAAATCAAAATACATGGCACAGCTCAACGATAAGCATGAGTAACAGAACTGCGATTGTCTAGGGTGAATAGTGTGAATGACAAACTGAAATCATAATTCACACATTTATATCAATAACCATACAATACGAATAAACGATATCATAACTTTAACTTCATTTTGAGTGTGAAAATATCTATTTGCCTTCTGAAATAATTAATTGTGATAAAAGGCACAAAAAGTTCAAATTTAAAAACGTACATTTACTAGTAATAAAAGTCGATAATTTCGAGTAAAATGTTCTGAATACACTCCGCAAACTGGTTCATGTTTAAAATGAATCACCAGTATAGTGCCGCTAGTAAAATAAGGAAAAACTAGAGGTGTCACAGACTGGACGGAAGGGAAGGAGAAATTGAAATTAAACTATGCTTATTGCATTTATAGGATTTGGTGGGTGTTTTAGCCTGAATGCGTACGTTCTGTTCCTTCGAAACAGTAGGTATCGTCCATGTATTTTGTTTGATGGGTAGGTTAATTGGTTTAAAGGTGTTGACAAATCTAATTGGTACTTTTTCCTGAATTAATCCCCTTCTGGCCTCAAACATCTTCGATATTCAACACTTCGCCCAAACTGGTGTAGTTCTATAAAAGTCGAATGGAAAACTCCAAGTCTTTCACTCGATATTCTGTGATCGATTTTCTAAGTTGGATACGGTAAGTCTGTGGTCCTGAGCAATCAAATGATGCCGAAGGTTGGTGGGGACTGAGGTGAATTGAGAGATGATGAAGCTGAAGGCGGGGCTGTGACTAGGATTAGATAGTGGCGGTCAGGGTAGGAGGTAGGTAAACCTGGGGGCGAAGTAGTCGGGTTCGGGGGCTTGGGCCCCTAGCAGGAGGCCCTATGGGATGATAGATAGCCCGCCGCCGCCGATAGGGTAGGGGCAAGAAGCGAAACACAGTTAAACAGACAATGGATGAGGCAGATTTTTTCAATATATTTAAATGTCTTTGATTTAATGTCACGTCTTTTGACTCGGTATCTAATAAATCCGGGTAGGAAGAGAGAATGCTTGCACAGCAGTGAAAGACATCAGTTAAGGCAAGTGATATTGAAGCCACGTTGATTACGAGTTCATGTCGTTGAAGCGACATTTAAACAAAGTTATTTCATTATCAGATGTATGGGATGACAGAAGCTCGGATAACATCATACTGTATGATTCGAAGGTGGATCCACATCACTCGCTGAGGGCTACGGGTATGGTGCATTGTCCGGATTTGCACCTTTGGCTGAAGGACTGGGCTGTGGTGCAGCCACGCTGTATGATGCCTGAGGGGTGCCGTATGAAGGAGATGCGCCGTATGAAGGCGGAGGGGCGCCGTATGAAGGCGGTGGGACGCCGTACGAAGGAGGAGGGGCGCCGTATGAAGACTGAGGGATCGTGTAAGAAACACCGTAGTTAGCCCCTGCGTGAGGATAGGCTCCGGACATTGGAATTGGTTCAAGGACAACTTGGCCGGGATAGGGGGCGGTCGTGACGTATGGAGTGGCCAACACAACGCGGGGTGGAGGCAATTCGGATATCTGAAAGAGATGAGTGTTAATATAATGAACCAGTAAAGACATTTTGAACTTTTCCTTAATTTTTCAGTACATTTAAATTCATTTCACACATTAATCACTAAATGATTTTGACATTTTTGTCAGTACATTTTTTCTCAAATTAGGTCTTGCTAAATATTAAGACTAACTCTAGCACGCCCCCAACGTGTCTAAAACTCAACTGGAAGAAACTTAAAGCCCAAAAAGGGAAAATTACCGAATCATAAAGCAGCTTTGCCAAAAGAAAATTACCTAACCAGTGTGCGATTTAAATATCTCCTTGAATTAGTCCTTGTGTTTCCGTAGTTACAAACGCTTAGGGTAGCTACTACAACACTAACTTGGAAGGGTTCTTGCCTGTTGAAGTGTCCTGCAGGTAATCCAACCAGAACTCTAATAAACAAAGTTCTATTAAGGCTAATCAAGTTAACCAGGATCGAAATCTTATGTGTTAGCGTTCTTGTTCAGCTAGTTGGGAAGAGGCATGCGACAGCAGCCCGACCCTTGCCGCTGCCAAGTGATGTTGCTATTAGGGCTTTTTTCGTCCTAATTCCCCGCTCTTAAATGAGTTGGCCTGACAAAATTTCCTGGGGCTGATGTTTCCGCTTCTGGCTTGTTAATGTATTAATGTACATGGTGGACTGTCTAGTTTTTTTGTGGACTGTCTAGCTTTTAGTGCATTGGCATCAATTAAGTTCATAATATTGCAGTCATAATCATTCTTACTATTATGACTAAGAGAAGACTCTGATGACGCCAACCAAAATTTGAACCATGTATTTTGCAAATTTTTTATAACTGCTAATATGAACCATGTATGTTACAAATTTTGATGACTGTTTAACCTCTATCGTAAATGTGAATTGCTTCATTTGATGTCTGCGTCAAGATCCGAGAAATTAAATGGAAAGGACCGTGTTTAATTCCCTCTTGGCGTTCTGCCTAGTCTGCCAACTAATTGATTTCTGATATGATGATCATTGATCAGAAAGTTAACGTGGATAAATTTTACATGTTCGTTGCTCTGCTTAAAACGAGCCCAAGCCCAATCACCTCACTCTAAATTTTAAAGTTCAGATTTCACCATAATTTGCCATGGTTTAGTCAACTGAGAAACAATTTATTTACTACGAATTTTTGTATGTGTATATACTGGTAAGTTCTCTTCAAAGACCAGTTGGGAACAATGGTGAAGATGGTTACTTTTACCTAAAATCCTACACTTCTTGAAGATCAAGCAACATTTTCGTATGCTTACAATAACTCTTCGGTACATGAGGGCAAAGACCGGTGAAAAGAGGAAGAAAATCGCCGAGATGAAGAGCAGCACGATTGCGAAGGCTTCAGATTCTTCTTCCACGATGCCATATATTGCGGTGAAGAAGAAGTTGAGTGCGCATAGAGCAGTCATGCCCGCGAAGGCAAGTAGTGTCACAATTCTCGTCTGTGAATATATATTTCATTACGATATGGGTAAAGCAAGTAATGAATGAAGGTGATCCCTCATATTAATGGATTCATTTCACACATCTCTGATCAGTCAATAACTAAATTATTCTTAACTTCATTCGAAATCAAATTTTTCTTAATCTTTCTGACGCGGCTGGCGATGTTTCGATTGTAATGATCTGCTCACATAGTGGACAATTTCAAATAATAAATAATTAATGGACCGTATTTCTTGTTACTCATGAAAAGGAACTTTTGACCATTGCAAAACATGCCACCAATGCTACGGTAGACCACTGAGTACGAAGATCCCTTTACTCCACAAAACAGCACTTGCTTGAGAACAAACGTGCAAAACTAAATGTGTGCTGGAAATTTTTTACCGATACATATTAGATCGTAGCAAAGTATAGAGTTTTACATTTGAAAATCACTGTGGATTGTAAGCAAATTAGTTTAATTCGATGCAGAATGCACAATATCAATGAGATAAATCAGAATAATTATCAATTAACTGCTTCTTATTCTGTTGCCGCTAATCAGCGTACGCCTTGCGCATAACCGCTTCTGTCGCTTTGAATGTTATACAAGAGTTTTCTCACTGATCGAGCGCCGATCCAGAGGAGCGTAGCAGCCGTGAGGCTCACGATGCCACCAATGACCATCTCCCAAGGCACAAAGTTCTCTGCAGATGATCAGTCAAGTCTTAGTATCAATACTGTGAAAATCAATTTACATGACAATTTCATTTACTTTGTGTAGTTATCTCTATGCCGCAGAACCTCATTGTTCACAAGCGAATAAGTTCGTAAAAAAAATTGTGAAACAATATTCGTTTGGATTCAATAGCTTGCGATGTGGAACAGATTGAGTGCTCGCGCTGAGATTTATATGAAGTGATTTTTAACTGCCATTTGGTTGAAATTTATCCCAATACATCTAGGCTGAAAACTTGTTAACCGGCCAGCCACTGTCAAAAATTTATAGGCACACGCATAAATGGACGTATTATTAAGGCGAACTTTCGTAAAAATATGACAGTATTATATTTTCTGTGATCTGAAAATATCTATATTGAGCCTCGGGTTCGCTAAGCTCATTACATTAGTCCAAGCACACAAAATTTAAGGTTTTTCCTTACGACTTTGCAGCCACGAGGCCAAGAATATTAGTTAAAGTTCAAGTACTTTTACTTAACTTTTATTTTTAATCAGAGGTGCTCGGGATTCTCATGCTCATATACGCTCTCCAGGCTTGCGTTCTTTTCAGCTTTTTGAACTCTTCGCTCATATTTCTGCATTTTTTTCAATCGCATTTGCTGTTGCCTTGTTTTCAGGCCCTAGGTTCATTTTTTTTAATTTAGTAGCTCTGCCAGCAGCAGTAGTGTTTGAAGGGCTGGAGGTCATAATTGAATCAATGAATGCACTCAAAAAGAATGCGGTAGCATCAAGCCGAAAGACAATCCGCAAATTTTGAATTTTTCTTGTTTAATACGCCTTCCAAGATCATTGTAGTAAAAATACACAAAACATCAAGAGTGATCCTATGAAAATGCAGCAGAAACTGCTGGAACCTAAGCGCACTACTATATAAATCTCTTACTATACAGTGTTTATTTTCAGTACATTTTTTTTATTGTTTGAATTAGTGAAGAATAACGGAGTAGCATGTAATGAAGCGTACTGACTTGATGACTGATGAGGGATACGAGTGACACAAAGCCTTTCCATTATTCTAGCCTACCTTATCAAATGGTAACGTAAATATATCAAACATAAGTAATTAAGTAACGCATTTTTCCCTTACTACGCATGCAGTAGGACAACACGAACTGATCGAATTTTCCACCGAGTTAAAGTTTACCTCGATATTTTAATCCGTCGCCATTGAAACTTTAGACCACAAGCTTTTGGTTAGGTATCAATCGCGTTCATAATTAGACGTTCATTGATTTATCAAATGAGAGATATATCCATTAAAACGTGGGTAGCTCTCATTGATGTTGAGGCATTCGTAGCCGAATCGCTGGTTATATAAAGATAGTTTCATCATGTCATCGCGCCCACTTAAGCTAGAACAAAATTTCATTATTTACATGAATCAATAAAATTCGAAGACCATTTTAAAACACTTCCTGGCTTCCAACAGTTTCAGATAAATTTCAAGCTAAAACTTTGAGCTTTTTACTACTGATTATATAAATAAATAAAGAAATTAACCAAACTTCGCACACACCCCACCGACCAACATGCTTGCTAGTCACGCAATAACCACCCTATCAAAACTTGGAGGTGGTGCAACTCTGAATTAGGGACCAGGACTCGGGGAGCACATTAATAAGCTTCGATCTTCTATGTACGATTCTGCTCAGGGTTTGAATGGCAGACTCTGGGCCGCTTGCTAGCTCGGTATGACTCGGCTCGGCCTAACCTTCTCATACTCTGAGGCGACTATAAAGTCGGAAAGGAGATTCTGACCAGAAACTGATTTCGATCGGACGGCCAAACAGACCATGAATGACTTTTCGCCGGGTGTAACGACTATTTGGCCGAACCCTAGGCGGTCCCCGAATTTTGTTAGGGGCATAGCAGCAGTATTCAAGGATGTGATACACGTACGCACCATTGCAGCATCATTCTTTCCAGTGACACACTCATCATAGAAACATTCATGCTAGTCTCACACTCACAATAGCATCATTCTTGCCAGTCTCAATCTCACCACAGCATCATTCTCGCCACTCCAGCACTCACCACAGCATCATTGTTGCCAGGCTCACTCTCACCACAGCATCATTTTTTTCATTGTAATTTTCAACACTCATTTTTCATTCTTGCCATCTCACTCTCACCATAGCAGCATTCATATATAAGTCACATACTCGCCAGATCATCATTCTAGCAGATCAAGTACTCACCATAGTAGCACTCGGAGGCATTATCGCAGCTCTTGTAGTCAATATTGACACCGCCAGTGATGATGAGCGCCACGCTGAGGCCCTGTAAGTGTGTTCATCATTGGTGGTATGGATAATTCATGTACAGGTCAGAATTTTTCATCATTCGTGAGTCAGTGCTTATTATGCTAAGAGAACAATTCAATTCCATTGAAATCATTCCACGATTAAAAAAAGTATATAACATGAACTTTATGAAATGTACCAAAAAATAATTCCGTAAAGTTTGGGATTTTAAATAATTTTATCTGCTCAACAGGAATTAAATTCAAGCACGAACCACTTGCACGCCGCAGACGATGTATGCTGTGGTCTGGTATTTTAGACCACAGGCGAATTCCTTGTCCGGCATCACTGCGTCGATATATTTTCTGTAATGGAATAAAGCTATTGACACCTGAAGTATTTCGGGGTAATGTATTCGCTCAGAAAACAAAATCCACGTACGTGTAAAAATTGAAAGTTTCTGGTCACTTTTCAAATTTATTACTTCATTTAATTCTCAGTCGTGTTCACGAAGATATGGCATTTTTATTAATAGATTCTATTGAAGTTCTGTTGTTGAACTCTTTAAATCTTCTGTAATTTGCATCTTCATTTATCATATATTTTAAAGCAAAGTTATTGTTCAATATTCATATTTTTGTCGCGGACTTCAACATTGGACTCACTCAGCCGTTGATGGCTGATATTTTATTCCAGTTAATTAATAAATGAAGTGGTTTGAACTTAGTGCCTCATGATCGACATTTATTGATGGTCTTTAAACTAAATTAATTTCATTTCATAGACACGTCATCGCGAAGCAGCGATGCATGTGTACACAAGTCGGGCACTACTGATGACAAGCAAGTCAGACTGACGTCAAATTTTAGGTTTTTGGTTTATAAATTTACGTCTTACTAGGATAGTAAAAAATCTGCCCCTGGGCACTATCGGTGAAGCTGGGTATGTGTCGATGTACTTCAAATTACACAAGTTGGAGGTAATCATTAATTTTAGATGAAGAAGAGTTACTTACCTGACTTATTATCACGAGTGTTAAATTGCGACTGGGTTCGTGGATGACGTCGGTTGCATTTTAATCACTTTCTTATCAGGAGCATGTGAGGGACGATACAAGCCCTGATAAGATGAACCAACCTTCCATTGCCTTGTCTCTTTTATTGTGAAAAGATGATAGGTGCTGGAGAAGATAGAAATAAAAAAAAAGAGGATTAAGACATTACCATTCGAATATATTATGTACAAACAGTAGCATCACTTGAAACTACGGGATATATATTAGTTTGAGACTGGCATAAGTAATTGATTAGTTAATATAATATCCTTGAAAGGTATTTTTTCTTATGATGGCGTCAAAAATTTGCCGTTCATATTCAAGTTTACAAAATTCTTAAAATATATTCTTTTTGGTAAATCAATAGGGCAGGTACATTTTATCAGATCAAATCAATCGAAGGGTGGCTAATGTGTCCAAAACACGCAATATGAGCATAATAAGATTTATATTTTCTTAAAGTCATGTTAGAATAAAAAAGTAATTGATTGAACGAACCCGCCTGCATGATATTGCAGAATTTTATTTCAGCCATTTTTTTCTGCTGTAATATTGACATATGAAAATGTTATTGAGTGATAAAATAGAAATTCGTATTTATAGTAGATATCTTATAATAATCTAGGTTATATAATAAAGAAATTTAAAGCAAAATGAGATTTTACGACATTCTATTCTTATTCATTTCAACTTCTGCTGAGATTTACTTAACTCCCATTTGACCAAAATATATCACTAAGTGATGAAGTTATACAGCTGTGATGCAGCGTTATTACATATATTGCTTACTTCTGTGCCCACACTTATCAGTCAGTATTGCTGCCACTGTATAGCTACTGGATACACAAGGTAGTGAAAGCAATGCTAACGTATGAATGTATGTATAATGGTAGCAGTGTTGTTTGTGACTGCAGGGGTGCTGGATGTGGATGAACTGGCGTACTCATGCAGGGATGAGAGCGCAAGAAATGAGTGCTGTATTTATGACGGAGACCGTTGAGGATGTGATCATGGAATGTGAGAGAATATAGAGTTATGATGTAAGTTTATGATGTAGGTTATTCTGCACGAGTGGAGTGATGGTGGTAAGAGATTGTGGTGTGAGAAAACAGGTGAAGACTGGGTTGCAGCGATTCTGGGTTTGTCCGAGTCATTTGGAGAGTAGGCATAGTAGGAGGATGGCAAGAAGTCCCGACGAATCACGAATAAAAAAATGAAATAAAATGCTAATTAAATAATAATGAATGAGTAAACATTAACCTTGCTGAATATCATTCGTTTTATTCCTGTTTCTGAATTTGCCATCACTATTTTGGTTTGAAACTTAAATTTAATTCTTGCTCTGTTCAATTCAAAAACGTGCTCTGTTCGATTTCAATTTATAACTTGCTTCACTTCACCCTTCTCGCAAGAATATTCGAGCAGTCCGTTGCCTGACTCAACAACAGCAGCAACTTGCAGGGTGCTGTAGCTACAACGCGTATCTCTTGCCCCGACATCTTCTTCGACCATCTAGCTAGATTTTAGTCCGAGGATACGCCATGTTGAAAATGTTTAGCCCCTACTCTTAATTTTAGCTCATGGAGTAGAGTTACTATTTGAAGCCCGGCCTGAGCACCGTCGAGTCCTTTGCATGAACGCGAGCGAGGCATCATCAGGCATGTGCTAGTTTTGGTATCGTGGGCGCTACGGTTGGCATCCTCTCTGGCACGGGATGCCTGTCGGAGACCACCATTGTCGTGCTTCGAACGGACTATCATGATCCCTTCTCTCAAGAACGTAGCCTATAACACTTCTGAATTGAAACGTTATCAGCCGCAAGCCACCAGACAGATCACATCCAATGAGCCCACAGGAAAGTAGCCAGACGTACTATGGCTCAGCATCGTCTGCCTTCGGGCTCGAAAGGATGACGTCACGGCACCGAATCGCGAGATGCATTGTAGGATCGGCGGCCATATTTGTTGCATAGTCTAGCCTTCGCTTACGTTTTTAATCTACTGCGCTTGTCTATTTTTGAAGTTTTGTCTATTTTGAAGATGGGACGTTACTGCGCTGTTGTTGAATGCACCAGTCGTTCTCACACTTATTTAAACAGAAAATTGGACAATGGAATGTGTTTCTTTAGTTGACCAGCCGTGTATGCCGTGCATATCGTATCAGTTTACGTATCGTAATGATATACGTATCGCATAGCAGTTTACCAGCCATGAATATTTATGATTTACGATACTAAATACTTTCCAGGGGAAAAATATGCTACTTGCCACTAGATAATCTGCATAATTAAGAATAAAAAGTAATAATATTTACAGCTCAGATTACATTGTCATGATCCATAGTCCTCACCTTGGTGGCAATGACTATATGTTGTTGCAGTTAGCTAGTTTGTGTGTGTATATCTCCTGCACCCACCCATCCACAAATTGCTTGAATGCTTCAAGCGTCTTGTAAGCCTTGAATTCTTGCGAGGTGTATTGGATGACACCTAATACCAAATAGTTCAGTAAATTACCGTGTGAAACGGGAGGCAGCCTTGCAAAATCTGCATACAACTGCTTTGCCGGCACTTCGTAGGGATCAACACCGTTTATGTCGAACAATTTTCTTAAATACCGGTCACTCGCTGAAGGAAGGCTTTTTTGACAATAGCTTAATCGTTTCTGATTTGCTCTTGCTTTCTCCATTGCCACCAAAACATCCAAACGTGTAGGAACGAAAGAGTAATGGGCACACTGGACTGCTTCGAAACAACTTGAGTTGCTCTGCGTGCAATACACCAGCTAGTTGCCTCTGAACACGGCAATCTTCACAAATTTTAGTTGCGTCGACTAGTCGAAGCAACTATTCGCCTCGTGTATATTTCGAAGTTGCTTCGCCTCGAAGCAACTATTCGCCTTAAGCTAAGGCCTGAGTGTGCAACAAACATGGCGGCATAGCAACGTGGATTACGTGGAAACGCGGTAGCTTGGCGAACCCGATTTTTAACATGTTCTGTTCCGTAAAATCAAATTGTTTAGACGAAATAAGATGAGTTTTCCGTCTATGAGTCGGGTTCACGATTTGTTTTGCTTCTTCGAATACAAAAGATCGAGAAAATTTTTTTATTTGTACTTTAATGTTCACAGAGTATTTTTAAAACACTAACGAGCTTTGATCAAGACAATAAACAAGCACTAACATACATACGTTAAATAAATTTAGATATAAATAAATATATTGGTACAGTGAATTAAACGACTATGCTCGACGATCACGGCAGCAATGGCTACTTTTTCTGCTATTTACTCACCTGGTTTCCGTTGCTTAATCGCCACATGCATGTGACTCACACGACTTATTGTGAGTCACAACTACAGTAAGATAGAATAGAGTGATATCAAACTGAAATAATAATTAGCAATTTCATATCAATGATTATACAATACGAATGAACAAAATCCAAATATATGTAACAATCTTTCAAGTGTAGAGATACCAATTTGCTGGCCGCGAGAGTAAGTTGCAATGAGCAAGGAGCACAAAAAAGTTAGTGCTCGAAAAACTTCTCTTTCAGGAAAAAAGATATATATAAGATATTCGGTATACGTATAATAAGTCAACTAAGATATATGCAAGTCCTGTGGAGCGGTCGCTGAACGCCGCATCGAGCCCAAACGGCCTCACGCGGTTAAAATTTCTCGGTCAAGCTCTGCCTTCTAACGTCTGGCTGCACATTCCCCTCCTCCACTCCCCCTCCTCTACATTTTTAATCAGCGAGCGTCATACTACTAATTTTTCTACGAAATTGTTCTCTATTATCAAATTGGTTGTTTTCTTACTAATAACCTTCATTGAAGGTTATATTCCTTTATTATATTATATTATATTATAATATATTATTAGCTTCAGACAAGGGCTTTGAAAGCTGATCGAAAGGAACTGCGAAGAGAAGAGGGAGGGAAGAAGGAATGTTTACCTTGAACGACAGAAGATTTATTGCCATATAGGGTAGGCTGCGCCTACACCCGGTACCACAATGGGTCAGGTCTTGCTTAAATCTACGGAATTTTCACTTACGACTAATAATGTCGACTAATATCTAATGCTAAAAGAATGATTCAGAAATGCTTTGTGTAGAGGTCAATGAAGAATAAATAGTTAAATTAACTTGTGTCGCGAAAATGTTAGAAAATGTTGTCGCGCTGGAAAAAGTTGCTCATTTTACGATCTTCATATGGTTTAAAATTTTTGTTCGTGATAAAAGTGATAATACATAGTTTACATAATATATCTTACTGTCCTTTAATTGGAAATAATTAGCCAGATCACCATTCCAAATTTCAGACTTGTATCTTATTTAGGAGGAGAGTTATTGGTTGCCTTCATTGTTAAGAACCCTCATAGGGATTAAGGTCGGGCCGCCTGCGTTGTCTGCATATCTGCACATATAATCGCGGTAAGAAAACTGACATGCTGGTGCAGTTGACAGGCCTCAAGGTTGTGTTGGTGAAGAGTTGTGTTATTTACAAGTTGGAGGATATGTAGGGGCTATGATGCTAGTCATTTTGATCCTTCGAACTGTTGTTATTGTTAGTGAATGTTGTCTGGTGAGAAGGTGAGTTGGTTACACTGCCTTGAAAAATCATAATCGGTACTTTTTATTTTCATTAATTGATTCTCTTCCGCTCTCCATTTATTTATCGAATCAAGGGTCGATATAACACTTTGCTAACCCTATTGTAGCTCTTAAAAGTATTGTGAATGGCTCTCGGTTATTTGGTTGATATATATTATTTGGTCAACTTTCTAAGTTGTATAGGATCGGGTTAGGGTCCTGAAGTTGAGGGATAAAAGGCCTCCAAAAGAGGTTGAGAGATAGCTAGTGAGATGAAGATTGAAGGCGGGGATGTGATTAGGATGAGGTATAGATGAGGTCGCGGAACAGAGATGACAACCGCTCTTCCTGGTAATAATACGTCCGGAACTCCTCATACGGCACTCCTGAAGGAAGCAACAATGGAGTGATGGGAAGGCAGGAAGCGAAGCACAGTGAGCCACAGTCCAACAAACATTGTACAAGGCAAATAGTGTCAATGGAGTAGAGACATATGTACTATATACGCTCCTATAGTGAGAGAGACATAGGCTCCTAGTGACACGCACTTACGATGCAGTAACTACCTAATCCGAGTAAGGGGTGAGCGTGTCTGAGCAGCACAGACAGCCATAGAACCACGAATCACATGTAACAGGGGACGATTTTACAGTCTCGGATTAAGCTGCATGTTTCGACGGTGGTTCCACATCTCCCGCTGGTGGGTACGGGTTCGGAGAGGCGCCGTCTGCCGAAGGACTGGACTGTGATGCAGCTACGCCGTATGAAGGAGAAGGGGCGTCGTATGAAGGAGGAGGGGCGCCGTATGAAAGAGAAGGGGCGTCGTATGAAGGAGAAGGGGCGTCGTATGAAGGAGGAGGGGCGTCGTATGAAGGAGCAGGGGCGCCATATGAAGAAGGAGGGATCGTGTAGGAAACACCGTAGGTAACCCCTGCATGAGGATAGACTCCGGACATTGAATTTGGATCGACGGCAGCTTGGTCGAAGTGAGGGGTGGTTATGACGTACGGCGTGGCCAACACAACGCGGGGTAGAGGCATTTGTGATATCTGAAAAAGTTGAGTTTTAATATAATAAAACAGTAAAGCAAAATTTCTAATTTTGCCTTATTTCTTTCAGTGCATTTACATCAATTACGTTGTTGAAGTATTGAATAAACTTTGGTGTTTTCAGTTTTTATCAAACTATTTTTCTTCAATTTTGTCACGCCAGACATCAAAACTAAATCTAGTTTGTATCAGTTTACTTAATACACGCATGCTCAACGGAAAATTACAGTGAAAAAAATGGAACCAGCGAATTATAAAATATCTTTACCATAAATATCATCACCTTTTAATCCTGCCTGTAAGAATAATGGCATGCGCATTAATATGAATAATACTGCACGCATTGATTTCCATTCAAATTACTGCAAAATTTCATCAAATATCAACGCTCGGAAAACTACAGCAGTAACTTGCAAGTGCCCCGAGCGCAGAAGTGTAGGGCAGATCTCAGACGAATAAAATGTTATCTAGGCTGATCAAATTAGCTAAGATCATTTTTTTTCAAGTGGTGTAGATTTTTTGTCCGATTTATAAATGCTATCAAGAAGGGTTGCGTGGCAGATATTCCATTTCCCCGCCAAGTTCTTCGTTAACGGCATTTTTTTAGATGCGCTCGTCTGATCAAATTTATGGGGCATTTATATCTGTTTCTGGCCTTCTTAATGAACAATCTCGATTTTTTATATTTGTTTGTTGTGCGCATAGTACCTATGTTCACAATATTAAAGTCTGCTATTTAAGTTAACATCTGGTTTAATAATGAAGTAATTAACGTGAGTATATACATTTTCTTTACTAAGCTTTTGCTCACTATATATAAGAGGTAAATCACCTCACCGAAATTCTACAGGTTTCGCTTACAGTTCAGGTTGTTATATGTTAAGAAACCTGAGATAAATTGTCTTCACGGCGAATTTTTTTCATTTTGTTCAGAGACTCGGAAGAAGGGATGGCAAAAAATTAACCTTAAATCCTACAGTATTTGGGTGACAATGTAGTATTTTCATATACTTACAATAATTCTGCGGTACATGATGACAAAGACCGTTGAAAAGAACTGCCAAATCGATGCAGTGAAGAGGAGGGCGATTGGGAAAACTTCATAACCGTTCGTGATGGCGTGGATCGCAGCAAATAAGAAGATAAATAAGCTGAAGATCGCCAGTGAAGCATAGCAGCGTAGCAATGGTAGTCTCGTCTGTTGATACATACTCCAGTAAAATTTAATAAAAAAAAATCGCAAATAAACTTACGTTAGTAATATTATTAAATTCTTCGTTGGTAGCTTCCCCGTATATAAAACATAAGTAAATGATTAGAAGGTTTTATTAAAAATTTACTTTGCGAGGATGGCTGTCTTTCGGTTGCTTTTATCTGGTCATCTATCGTAATGTTTCATCTAATAAATAAGTGGACCGTTTTCCTTGTTCCTTGTCCAGTGGAACTTTCCCAGGCTAACAGGTCACCGTTTACACTATAAACTCTCAATCTCTGGAAGACATGAATGAGAGCAAAACAATTGCATGTAATTTTTTTCATGTGAAACATATTTAACCGTTGCAGAACATATACGTATTAAATAAATTGCTTGTAGATTATTTCCCCTCTAGAGTGCATGAAAATTGTAGAATTAAAATAAACTTTCAGTCTGTATTAAACGGTGCTATATATCGTTGAAATTTCTAGGAATGTTTTCTGTTTATTCACCGTTCCGTTATCCCGTTCATGAGACCAATATGTGATATTGCAGCCGCCCTCCGCTTACGAGTACGACCAAGTTTGAAGCGAAGGCTTACGTACGTGCCGTGATTTGGAATGATTTTAATCACGTTCACTAACCCTAAGGAAGAGACTCTGGTTTTACTTCAAGTATACGTGTGCAATGGAAATACTACTGCGGATTAATTGAATGGGAACTGCGATACATGCGAACAAATACTTAATTACTGTAATAGTTTACTTGTCTTTCATGATGCATGTCAAGATCGTATGTTGATGCTTTGTCATAACAGAATGAAATATAACTTGTTGACCGTATTATATTTAGTTATTACTTCGGGTCGATATCCTTTGAGAAATATCGATAGCCATAATTATTTTTTCAAGTCTGATTAAACAGAAATTATGTGTGTGGATATTTTTCATTTGTTATCTCCGTCAATTCTTAATGTTTTTTTATTTGAGCCCTTACTGCCCAGAAATGTGCCCTCCTAAAATTTGTATCCCAACTTAAATTTCTTTGTCAGACATCACAGTGAGAACATCCGAAGAGTTGTGGCTATCCTCAAGATTGAGTCGTGGACCAACTTTATCCGAAAAACCTCGTCATGCAGCATGTAAGGATCAAGTCATTTCTAGCTAATCCTGGGGTAATATTTGCATCCGCAGATAGTCTGTGTTCATTAGCCGGCCATCAGCCACTCTTGCTCTGGCCGCCAGCGCCATAGGTTAGTAACTGATAGTGTTCTCTTGATGGGAAATCTTCACTTGTCTTGCCTGTGAATATTATGTTCTGTACCTTTGAAACATTTAAGGGGCCATGCTGATCTCTCTTGTATCCATTCCAGTTCCGGTTGGGGAGACTGCCATTTCTAGCTAACCCTAGGGTAATATTTGCATCCGCAGTCATAGTCTGTGTTCATTAGCCGGCCATCAGCCACTCTTGCTCTGGCCGCCAGCGCCATAGGTTAGTAACTGATAGTGTTCTCTTGATGGGAAATCTTCACTTGTCTTGCCTGTGAATATTATGTTCTGTACCTTTGAAACATTTAAGGGGCCATGCTGATCTCTCTTGTATCCATTCCAGTTCCGGTTGGGGAGACTATCTACTATCTGACACACCAGTGACCCGAGTTAACAGCAAGACTATCACAGCCGTGTTACCAAGTAGGCCTATGGAACTACCAGTCGTCTGTACCTCTACCCGCCATCTGTGAACCAGTCGTGTGGTCTACTTCCAGTCGTCCGTAACTCTAGTGCCAGTCGTCCGTAACTCAGTGCCAGTCGTCCGTAACTCTGCCGTCAGTCGTCCGTGGCACTACCTCCAGTCGTCCGTAACTCTAGTGTCAGTCGTCCGTAACCCTACCGTCAGTCTTCCATAACTGTACCGTCAGTCGTCTGGGATTCTCCCGTCGGCTAACTGCACTCCTTCATCGGATCTTGCCTTGTTCCTAAGTTAAGTTGTCAATTCGTTTATATTTCATTAAAGTTATTGTGTGATGCGTCCATTATTACCCACCGGTTCGACTGATGCCGTTTCGCCTCATTGATATCCTTACAGTTACACAACATCAATAACTTTGCTGATCACCGACTTCATGCTACATACAAAGAATACCATTAATTTGAGTTTCTAATTTCTGGACAGTCATTGTAGCTGGTCCGATTGCGCCATCAACGACTGTGATCTTCACCTTGAGCATGGAAAATGTAGTAGCATTACTAAACGAATCCAAATCGTTCACTAAACCGCGCATGTTTTGAACCAAATCACTTCGCTTTATTAAGTGTCAATTATGGATTCATTTTCTCACTGATCGAGCGCCATACAGAGGAGCGAGGCACCGATGGCGCAGAAGATGCCACACACCACCATCACCGCAGCCACCACGTTGTCTGTAAAAGATTAGCCTAATCAACTATGAGCTGCAACACAATGCAGATCAATTAAAACAATAATTTATTTTAATTTACCACATTACTTTTTTTTGTGGAACCCTACTTCTATAGCTTGTTAGTTCACAAGTGAATAGGTTCGTAAAGCAAACAATGTTATAATGGATTCGCAAAATGTATCACGGTTTTCAAACGCCAAGCCGCCTGTACGATGTACCTACAATGTTTAGAATGAATGTTCTAATTTTTGTGAGCGAAGAAGAAAAATAAAGGAACCGTAGGAATAGGTCTAGTGTAGTGTGGTTTGGTGCACATCCTGTTGCAGCGTGCGACGATACTCCGTTCTGCGCTGGGTTACTGGCAGGCTTCATTGTAGCGAAAATCAGCACCTTATTTCTTCCAGGGAGGCCACGGCTAGCCACTACCTATCCGCAGCTCCTGTGCTCTGTTTAATCTTGTACTCGGGTTGATTCAACTTAATATTCTTGATTCTGGTTAGTATGAACTCGCAAGTTCCGTCGTTCAAGTATTCCGTTCTTTATTAAAATTGTTTGTGGAACCCATTTATTATAATCATCGGTACCCAAGTTTATCACGCTGTCCTATATGCATACCGACCCGAACATTGTTCCTCCTTTAGCTCTAATCTTATAGAAAGAGTGAGGAGACTCAGGAGAGTTTTAAGAGTGTTATTGTCATCGAGCTATTTAGCGCTTATGAGGGCTCAACGCAGTCAGGAGTGACAGGAGTGCTGAGACATGTTATCATAAGCAAGGTACTACTGAATTCTATTTGGAAATGACGACATCAGAAAAGGCGTTGAAGCTTTTGTCTATCCCATGCAGTGCAGACGACACGACTAAGTCTGATGCTACTGTGCTGGGATGGAAAGGAAAAAGATGAAAAATTTAGACCGGTCATAACAAATGAAAAATTACAAAATCCGATGTTTCTGAGGCTGGAGTGTCATGATGGTATTTATTTTAACGAAAAATTGTTTCGTTTGTAACCAACGACGTAGAACAGGGTGGATTCTCAAACCGAGATTCCATTGTACACTTCTTCAAAAATGATAACTCACTGATGTCAACGGCAAGTCCACAGAATCAAGTAAAAACTGCATGTGCCATTCAAATCCGTAAAATCTCTTACCGCCGAACTCAGTACATACACTGTCCGCACAGGTCACGCATTCTTAATAATACGTAAACATGGGATTCAATGCAGGATCTACTCTATCTCGGATAACAATTCCGTAACAAATATAATTTCCTGTTTGATTTGACTCCAAAAGATCTCGGAATGGAATAATTAGTCACTATTTAAAGATACATAACTTATTAATATGACACGAATTACTTTATTTATTCCCTAGAATTTCCGGCACTTCCCATGTCTGCAATTCAAATACAGTCACCAGATTCAAATAATCCCAAACTTTAGAATAGCTTTCGAGGGTATATCACCAACGAGAACGCGTTGAAAACGAAAATTTGTAGTTCACGAAGAAATTACAGGACGATCACATCCTCACACTTAAACTGGATCTTACAGCTTTAAAAACAGAAACTCGTGAAGTCTCACGAGAAACATTCAACACGCACTCACCATCGTAGCAATCTGGGTCGAAACCTGCGAACGCTTCACTGCAGATTTCGTAGCCGAAATTAAAGCTGCCAGTGATGATGAGGGCGAGACTAAAGCCCTGTAGGTGTGTGTGGCTGCCATTAATAATAATTTTTTCTTGTAAACATTTCACCTCTACTTTTTGCGGGATACAAGAAATGAGGCTTAAGAAATATCAGTTTTCAAACAATTAATACGTTACAACATCAAACATTAAGTTATATAGTATGACACACGAGGGAAATATCACCTTACTCTGCTTCTCGAAAAAATTCATTCAATTCATGGCATTCAACCACCGAAATATCTTATTGCATGAAATTTTTCATTCTGCCCAAAAATACGGACCATTTGCACGCCGGAGACGATGTACGCCGTCGTCTGGTACTTCAGACCGCATGCAAATTCCTCTTCTGGCATCACTGCGTAGAGTTGACCTTGCAATGGAGGAACAATATTTTCAACTGATATATTGTCCGGAAAAATAATTATTCAGCGTGAAGCATAGTCCACATGCAAGAAAAAAATAATAGTTTATGCTCAAGTGCTATTACTGAGCTGAAGTCAATTTGATGGTATTTACAATATATGTATGTACATAGCCTTCAAGTATATACGGCATTTTTCGGTAACGAAAGCTATTGCGACGTATGGATGTTTGTAACGAATTATACACTGTGCTTGACTGCTTTTAATTTTGCATTTCATTTTCAATCGTCATTAGATTAGATTGAAGTTTATTGCGATATGCATTCGATCTATGGCCGTTGTAGACTCATTATCAAATATTTACCATGAACAACTAATCTTCAGAGTTGTCACAGACAGTAGGTGCTTATATTATTAGTTAAGCTCAACCAAATCGAGCTACAAGCAGTCGCGTGGCATTAATGAATTATTCTTAATTGACATGTATATATAATTTAACCAAAATCGCGTCTCAAGCTAAAAATTATCTGTAGGTATTTATTTTTATTAATTTTTTTAAACACGCTGTCGCGTAACAGCGTCACATAGCATAACTACTCATGCGTGCACAGCTGATGACTACCCAAAACATTGTGACGTCAAACACACGCGTTTTCGTCCAAAAATTTCCGTCATACAGAAATTATCCACCGTTCCTTAATTACGTAAAAAAATCTGCTAAGTGACCCTAGCGGTGAAGATGAATATTTATCGGCTTACTATAAATTTCCTAAGTGGGAGATTAACTTCAATTTCAGTATTAAGGTACTTACTTATACTTAACTTATTAACACGAAGGTCTAATTGCAACTAGTTGTATGACTTTGGTTGCATGTCAACCGCTCCATAGCTTACTTATCAGAAGCATGAGAGGACGATATTACCTCGGATAAGATATTGCAACCTTCCATTGTGGCGCTAACAGGAGATATCAGGGTTCAGGGTAGGGTGGCCCAGTGGTTACAATTCAGAGTATCAGGATCGGAGCACAGAGGCGCGGGTTCGATCCCAGCTCTGAGCGCCAGTTAATGGTCAGAATCGGCGAGGAGGACGGGCGGTTAAGCAAAAGCAAAATTTGAAGCAGCGAGTTGCGAGTTCGAGACTCACAACAAGCAGTGGATGTTCTGCGATGTTAAGAATCGGCGACAGGCCTTCGGTCTAATGAACGCTGAAACCGCTATTATTATTATTATCTGTTGCACATGTATCCGCTTAACAATTGATTGTTTATACGCGTTATTACTAGGTATACGCACGTACCAACCAGTATACCCAACTTAACCAGATCAGCCGCTATACATTTTTTTTACTTTTTTTCTTTTTCTCTCTTCTTTTTGCCACACAATTCCTACTACACACAGCAATCCCCCAATTGTGGCCTTTTCGTGTATGTGTCATTAGTGTATAAAACAGTCTTGCATTAGTTTTATCTAGCCAAAAAACCCTAACCAAACTGAACACAGCCTGATATGTCCTAACCTAACCTGTCGTATCCTAACCTGTCCTAACCCAACCCAATCTAACCTAACCTAACTTAACCTAACTTAACTTATCCTAACCTAACCTAAGCTAGCCTGAACTAACCTTGCCTTACCTAACCTAACCACCCTTTGTCATGGTCGCCATATGAACTTGTTGATGGCTTGAACCTAACCTCAGAAAATGACGTATATTTTACGACATGTTTAATTTCCTACCTGATCCATTTCCATACCGTGCATAATTGGGGCCGGAGTTCGCATTTCCAACACTCACTGAACGTATTGAAAATGCGAACTCCGGCCTAAATACTCCAAACTTCAATAACCTATGTGTCAGTTTTCCTCTATCAAAGCAAATAGTGCAAAAAGTTTGAATACTTAGTCGATGGTTGCAAGAAACACAGCTTCAAGACTTCTTAAGCTACCAGTTTCTCAACTTACTAGTCCCACTCACGAGCGCTGCGAGCTCCTGCACGCCGGTGGCCATCATCGTACGTCGTAATAACTGCTTAAGGGGAGCGTCTACCCTAAAATTGAAAATTTTTACTTTCTCGGTTTTCATACTAATTTTAAAGCTGACATTCTGCCCTATCCAACGGTACCACTGCCATCTCCCTACGTTGATTTATGATTTCACGACATTTCATGAAAGGGGGGCGGGTTGGGGGGGGCTTTAAGTAATTAGATAGGAACTAATNATATCTATAGCTGTCTCTTATACACATCTAGATGTGTATAAGAGACAGGAAGTGGCCGGGCTAATTTTCGTTGTCAATGTTAACAACAAACAAACAAACAAACAAACAAACAAACGCGAAGCTAAGCTAAGAAAAACGTGTTAAAAACGTGTTAAAAACGGCTAGGTCGTTTTATAGATAAAGATTTTACGCATCGAATGATATGTGTCTTGATGTCGTAGCTTGAAAATCCTAGGAGGAGATAGATTTCAAATGTACTCCCTTTTTTGACCGTTTTCTATGAATTTCACGTTTTCTTTCATTTTTTTCGAAAAATTAACAGGAACAAAATGTGAGTTTTTTTCCATTTTACATATGTGTACCAAGTTTCAGAGTGGTCCGTTTGTAAATAGCCGAGATAATTTTTGGGGTAGACGCTCCCCTTAATCGAAATTCTAGTTGAAGTCTTGTTTGACGGCAGATATCGAGGGAACGTCAGGGCCCCGAGCTCAACACCCGGGGCCATTAAAAGGGAACTTTTGTTTTCTTTTCATTGTTATTCGTGTCAATTTTCTTCAATCCTGATCGTTACCGAGTTAAAGGACTTCGAAAGAGCTGAAAATCACAGTTACGGATCGGGCTCATTCGGACACGGAGCAATATGAATGTTTCACGAAAACCGTTTTCT